AACAAATTTATTTTCAGATCTGCAAAAATTCAGTGTATGCTTCTATTACTTTAAACATTGTCACTCTAATATAACCAGTTATATTTATAAAGTTTTGCATTTACTCGTTAAAAACTGTAACTGATCAGCTTTTATCGGCATGCGGGCACTTGATATCCATTTAAGTACCGGTTTTTAATAAGGATTTAAACAGATAAAGTGAATACCTTGGGTAAAAGTTAGTAGTGTAGTGTACGAGGACTCAGGTAGGGGAGACTAATTTATTGTTCAACTCAAAATTACAGAGTGCGTTCATAAGATTTTGAAAACCAGACAACAAATACAGTATATGCATACTTTCCTCCAGTTGTCATTTATATGCTGCATGATTCTTTCATTTCTTTTGTTATTACAATTACTTTCTGCTTACATTCCTGTTTCTTTCAATTAAATCTTCTTAATCTTCGGCTAACAAACATTCCGCTTCTAATTAGCGTCACATAGTTATATAATATACCCTTGTCGGCAAGGGTAGTTTTACATTGGTTTTCAGGAGAACCAGACACCATATATAACGCTACCATCTGAATAGTACAGCTCAATCCTGTGCAGCAATCATGATGGACCATTCGCACTATTTATATACACATTCACGTCACATGTATAGTAATTCCGATCAATGATCGCATGAATCAATTATACACAGCACGAACAGGCCAAAGTTGACCTATTCCGCTTATGCGACAGTCAAATTCATTAATGTTAGCAATCGCGACATGCCTTACAATGTCCCATTTACAGTGGCCCTTGAGAACACTGAAAAGCAACCACCAGTATGAATGAAATCGGTCAACCAATAAACCAGTTTTGTGCATGAACAGTCAGCAAAACTTGCCAAAGTAATCCCGAGACATCAACAATACCAATGGCGAACCTACAGTCTTATATTAGACCTTCAGCTCCACATAGCAATATAGCTTATACTGCACACAACACATATGTAGGGTAATAAACGAAATAACCCAACCTGAAGCGTTAGGGCTTAAAGAACTCTTAAGACCCATTTTTGTGTCAGAATACTATTACTAGACTACCGAGATCATTTTTATCGCATTTGCGAAATTCTCATTTTTCCGACTTTTCAGACCCTCAGTTAGGGGTCGTATCCCTACATAACATGGTGGGTAAGAGCAAGTGTAAATTGTCAAGCACAAATCGTAATGTACGTTTACATATTATACATCATTTAATAGTACTCAATTAGATTATTAACACAAAGAAACCCCCATTGAAAAATACTAATCCGTTCGAAAGTTATGAAGGAAAATGTGACCCGAAAAATTGATAATACATACGCCACAGTAGTAATATGGACTCTGTATCTCGGTCAATAATGCGTTGGGAGTAAAGGATACTAAGCCACAGTCTCAGTGTGAACATCAACAGTTATATACAGGTATATTCATATAACGACTTCGAAGCAGAATAAAATGCGCGTCCTAGATTCTATTACTAGCCTTTATCGAACTATAATAAGTGTAGAAGTCACCTCAATTAGAAATACTATTCATAAGATAACAAATAAATGTTATGTTGGGATATTTAGGAAAATATCCCAAAAATTATTCTGTTAAGTCTAATGCTATTCTTGGACTTGGAGATGGTATTATTTTCTTATTGGTCAGTACTTATTTCACGTGCCATTTTCCTACTGGTCAATATTGTACAATGTTATCTTCTACTTTATGGTACGATGTGGTCTGCTTGATTAGTATATAAACAGAGTGTGTTTGAAATATAGTGATTCATATCTCCGAGGCTGAGACTTGTGTTCTGTACTCAACTGACTGGGCTAGACAGGGAAGCGGGACCAATCAGAACCCTAGGCCGTCCTTACGTGTTTGCGCGTCTTTGGTCCGATCGATAATTCGCTGTCCTCTAATCGGCTGCCGTCACAGTTATAGCATGTTATCACAATAAAACTTGGATCATGGATAGCTAAAAATATTTTAACTTTTAAATTAAATGACAATCAACAGACCAGTAGTAAAATTAATCGATTTAAGAAAAGGCACATCACCGAAGACAGCAATTCATTTATCGTTTATTATCATATTACAGTAAAGAACGACTATAAATACAGCCAAATATATTTTAAAGACGATCGATGAAAAAAAATCATCTTTACAGACAGCCAAAATATGATGCAGGGTTCTGAAGTATTTTGCCTACATGCCAAATATTTTTTAAAGAGATTGCAAAGATGTTAACTTGTTTGAAAAAAGATGCAAAAAACAGACCGAAAATTCTTTTGAGTTGATTTTCCATCATGACTCTATACTAATATTTGACACTTATCGAATAACCATGCTTCTTTTTATATATTTTAGGCAAATCGCATAGCATTGGTATTTTTATGAAGTCTTAGTGTTTCAAATAAGCTTCCTCAGATTAAACTTTGTTTAACCTTTCTAAATAAGTCTGTTAGTTTCCATGGTTTCAATCATCATCTGATCTTAACTAGATCACCACTGAAAACCATGAGCCACAGTACAACTGTTCCATATTAGTACGAAATTCCCCAGCTGTACTCATTCATGTTCCCATCAGGGACACTTAGTCTCCAGACCAATGAGTCAACATCCAGTGTTGACTGTGTCGCTCTTTATCATCAGTTTTTTGAAATTGACTTTCATCATTTACCGGGACCTTCATCTTACCTTAATAATCTTTCCGGCCCATTGACATGAATTGGTCTTGAGATCAACAAACTATGATTGGTTTTAGGCTCGCTTAAAAATTCTTTCTGTTTCTTTCTCGAAATTTTAACTGTTTAAGTACACAAAGAAGAAGTTAGCTAAAGTAGATTCAGAACTGAGCTATTACTTATTCACTTATATAAGCGAATCTTAGAAAAAGTTATCGTTATTTATAATATTGATCAATATTTCAAAATAAATGATACACAAGTTATGGGCATATTCATAGTTGAATAGTTTAATATTAAATACAAGACGAATCTGATAAATTGAATGAATCCAAGAGGATTTTTGACCAACAAGCTAAAAATCAATATCTCAGATTTCATTTCACGATAATAAGGCAACTCATTAGTAAACAACGCTGATCGATCTGTGGATAAATAACTCAACGTAGTTATGGCTTAACTTAACTATACATAACATCTTATAACTCCTGGATTTCCTATCAAACGTATTGATTAGTTAGTATTCAGTCATTGTCTGATAGGAAGTTTTGTAAATATTAATTTAACTTCAATGGTAATTTCATTCTGCAACGAAAATCATTTTTAATCAAACTTTCAATTAGTTTAATTAACATAAATATATACTTTATATCAGTCTTTCCGTCAATATTCTGTTAACTATACTGTAAATCCATTTATCTTCCGAATGTATGAACGAAACCAACTTATTCGTTCCTCTCCACAATGTCAAATTCAGAATACATTTCACTGACAATGAATGATCAGTTATTTGCTCGTATTCATTTCTTTCTCTAAACAGTTTCTTTCGGTGTACAAATCAAATTTTACGATACAATTAAATATTAAACCCTTTTAGTTATCTTCGAAAACATTAGTTGTTTTGAATGAACGATATTTTATTACGGCTTTATATACAAGCAACATAAACCTATGAACATTGTTATACAATAATGAGATCTAGGTAACTAATTAAGATATTTCATTTTATTAATCAATATGGTACACTTCAAAAAGTAATTTTCATGTCGATTATCAGCTAACCACTTATAAAATATGTAACTGACAAACCATTGTTTCATTCCAGATAGAAGAAAACTAACATAAGATGTTTTATTAGAACTAATTTAGTAAAATTTTAGGAATGTATTTCATCATGTTAGAGTATTTAAATTACATAAATATAATATAGTAGCCTAGAATATCGAGATAGGTTCACATCAATAAAGGTGAGAGTAAGCGAACATCTATTAGTGAAGGCGAGCGTTAAAAGGGGAAATCATACTTTTGAGAATGTAAAATATGTTTGATTTACCCTCTATCCTTTCACCTCTATGATAAATCAAAAACATCGTTTTCAAAAAGTCTAATGGAGAGTCTATTTTCAACAAATACTCAAATTTTTCGAATTTGGCAATAATTTGTTAATCTTATTACCCCACTCGTGTTATCTCACATGTCTATTTTGAACAGCTAGTAAATAATCTATTCTGAGAGATGTTTGTATGTATGTTTGGTTTCCGATAAAATAAGAGTTTGTTAGTCAATTTCAGGTGACCGAAAATGTAAAGGTAAGAGACTGAATTATGTGTAGATGTGAAAGGATAGAGGGTAAATCGAACAGATTTTACAACCTCAAAAATGTTATTACCCCTTTCGATGATCACCTTTCTGATAGTCGCCTTTTTTGAATGGATACCATGGAGATGAAATAATTGAATTTTTGTTGCATAAAATGATATTATGTAGGCTAAAAATGTATGAAGAGGTCAACTTCATCTTTCAAAACAAATAATTCAAGTTTATTTCCCTTGACTATAATGAATGACCGTATGAATGTATTGACTCTTTACAAAACTATTATTGATCTGATGTGAATACGAGAAGCCTCCCATAAGTTTCATGAAGTATGAATAACTCTAGCCAATTAGGTTTCTCACATTTACGTCCATGCTTTGCAGAGTATGAAATAACTGTTCGTCCAAGTACTCATTGTTATGTAAGTATCACTAAATTAGATTAGTTATATTTGATGATTTTCAAATTTCAGAGAGTTGCCAATTTGTTAGTAAAGCATTTATTGTAAATAAGAGATTAATCAGTAATACACTTTAAGGAATGAAACAATATTTATTCCTTATTTCAAAAGAAATGATGTGTCTGCAACAACTACACTGGAAAAAAAACTTTGAGAATACTATTTGGGTAAAGTCTGTAGTTATGTCTTTAATTCATAGTATTTTTAAGAACGTGTATTGCGACAGGTTACAGATAATCAATACAGTGAAGATTTTACCTTTATCAACGGATATAGTTTCTTTGTATCCCATATTAATATTCCGTTTTATAATCATCATCATTAAATTTATTGAGATGGATTTGGCTATACCTGTGAAATAATTAGGGAATTATGGCAAATCACAGATAATTGAAAATAAGGAAATATATATAGCTCAAAATCATGCACTTATATTTGAGATAGAAAATAAAAACAATCACGTGAATAATTAACCTCTTTAGATTACGGAAACAATAGTTGCTGATTAAAATCTCCATAGTATCCATTGTTTATGATAGATGAGAATGAACTTGGTTGAAAACATTGGAAGTTATATCAATAAAATCCCTTTAAGTTGGTTAGTAAATCAATTGATACTTGAACATATGTTACATAAAGTAAAAACGCATGTATATACACAAAATACTTAATTTGTATTAAACACATGGATTAAAACCTTCTTCATTGTTGGTTCTAGAATATGTAAAATATCTCCCACTTGTTGAATATATCATTGTTACACTTTTATTTCAAAAAACAAGTGATCGTTTATTGTTACATTTATTTATGTTTAATTCTCATGTATGTTACGAGTTATAGTTATTCTGTAATAAAACAAATTATTTGGGATATGTTTTTAAAATTATTTCCGCTACTCATAAACGATTATTAATTTCACATATTATAATCAAACAAAACTGTGTTTATAGTGAATGTAATTATTTACTTACGCCTGTTGTCCCTCGTGGAGGAGTATGGGCCACCTACCAGTATTCTCCATCCATCTTTGTTATGAGTAATCCTTTCCAGTGAGTGTAATGCTCAAAATAAATTTGAATTAATAATAATAATAATGAAGTAAACTTCATCATAACTGAAATGAGTTCGAATGTATATTATTATGTATATAGAGTAATTCATTCATATGCTAATAAATATTTAACTCTAATGAATAAATATGCATCACTTAAGTATAATTAGTAAACATTTTTATACACCGACTGTTAATGCAATTTTTGGGATGACATGAACTTCAACGTGTTGACTTTTAGTTAACGATTAACTAGTTATAAAAATAATTCACATTAATATGATTGTTCACTCATAAACTTTTCGACTTAATTTTGTGGAAATTATCGTATCTTTATGTGAACCTTGGAGAATATTTTCATCTTAACACAGTTACCAGGTGATATGATATACGCTTAAGATTATAAGGCATTTAGATGGTAGTTGGAGGTAGTCAACAGGAAACCCTGGACCCAGGTTTCATGCTACTTGGCACTCGTCAGCAAGGTGTACCTGTAATCTTGAGGGAACTGGTGCTCCCTGGCGGATTCGATCTCGTGTCACCCAGCTTCACAGTCAGAGACGTTACCATTGAGCACCAGTTCCCTCAAGATTACAGGTACACCTTGCTGACGAGTGCCAAGTAGCACGAAACCCGGGTCCAGGGTTTCTTACTGACTACCTCCAACTACCATCTAAATATCAATACATAGTACCCGCAGTGTCGAGTCACCTAGACTGGTGGCCACATTGCAACATGATCGATAGAATTCGATCTGCACTAATAAGGACTAGACAAGCATGACATTGATCACCACCCAGTGATCAATCAATTGTGATTATATGGCATTTCATTCCTACCCGATTGGTTATCGAATTCATTATTTCAGAAAACTTATGATTAAAAATAAGAGGAATATGATTGCATATATAAAACAATGGATAGTAAGACTATTATTTATGGATGGTCTTCAAGCGAAAGTGACCTATGTACTAGGGTTAAATGTGGAGGAGTTGGTATTAAGATTTACAGTTGGACGTTAGGGTAAACAAATGGATTTAGGCTTTTCAAGCCGAACTGACATGGGCTATGATGCCAAAATGTTATTTAGCCAAATGAATGAATTTCAAACAAAAATTCAAGACCTCTTATATTAAATCTGGTTGACTCATTCATAAATTATGCTCTTACCCCATAAATTTGATTAGTACATACTACTCGAAAAGATCATTAACTACATACGTAAATTACCTTTTAGTTTTCAATTATCTCTTGGTAACATTTTGTGTATATATGATTTCACACAATGTATTAAAACAGTATTTAACTAATTGATTTTCAAACGTTTTGGTTATTCTTTGGAAATAGTCTGTTATTATGTGGAATTTGATAATGAACATACATACATCATTAGTTATTTGTTACTTAGACAACTAAACTTGAGACATCTAAGCTCTTTCTATTTCTCACTCTCTCTCTCATCATTGTTACGCCTGATATTTGTTTTTTTTTCTATCACTTCATATATGATTTGTCAATTATTTTCCGTCTAAACGAAAATGAGTACAATCACATTTTTATCGATCTCCATCGTCTTTTATTTGACAGTTGTTGGAAGTAACAGAATTGCATCGATTTATAATTATTAACATTTGTTAGTTCTTCTCTCTTTATATCTTTGAAATCTGTCATCAGTAACAACAACAGCAACATCAACAACAAAACTTATGTCCACCAGCCATATCTGTACGGACCAACAGAATAACACATGTGGAACGACGTCAACATTGTCTGACGAGATATAATGATTACCATTTGGAGAAAGAAACAATTAACAAGTTATAAATGGAAAATTAAGGAAAGTTGTTCACTATCGAATTAACAGCTAATTTTCTTTTCGATATTTCTTCTGTGTTCTTTTATCTGATCTGATTATATTACTTATTATTATTACCGATATTAACTGTCAGTTATTGTATGGTATAAAAATATATTATAATGTATAATGTCGTGAAAAATATGTAACTTGTATTACGAATTGATCTTAGACTAGTTAAAACTAGATGGGACAGTTATTCGCCAATGGTAATGGTAGATGGCTGCACTATATGGCGAATTGATTAGATTCGAACTTGTACATCATTAAACACTAGATTAATGGTCTTAAGACTACGTTATCACTGAAGGGCCCGACCTTCGATATGATAGCGTATGTACACTAATGAGGAATCCCATATTTGCAAAAAAACATGTGTCGTTGCTCCCGGATTTGCAGTGGTTTTTTAAATACAATAAGTCTGTGATGTAAACTAAAATTTAACAACCTCCACAAACCGCTATGCTAGTAAAAACATATATCGGTTGTCTGGATCTTCCCATTGATGGTGGAGACTACAAATGATCAATCTTTTTCAAGATATGTACATCCTGTCCAGATTTCTCCTAACTTTCCCCTTAATTTTCAAGCATTTTAGGCAAAAATGGATTATGGCTAGCAGTGGAATCCAGAAACCGCGTTTTATAATATTTGCAAATTCTCAGCTAAACTTACCTGCATCCCGGAGTTGGTCCAACAGAATCCAATCGAATTGCATACATACAACTTTGAAATATATCTGAATATTGGGAACTGAAACAGGGTCGATATTCATTCTTAGTATAAATTTTCGTTTTAAAGAAAGCTTTATTTTGCCATTGAACAATGAATAAAAAGACTGAGGCTCGATTTTCTATAACAAATTATGTAATAAAGTAGACTGAGTAAAATTAAATAAACGAAATTTTATAATTCGTAATACGACAGGCTTTCTCAAATTCAAGCAAAAATACATGAACTGAACGAAGAGTATTTTTTTAAAATAGGAAATCATCATTACGGTTTGCAATTACAAATTCAAATTAATATTCCTGAGAGCATATCCAAGGTAAATACATCATTTAAGACTACAGCGTATAAATTTAGGATTGTTAGTGTGGTGTGTGCTACTGACGTAGACAGATATAAGTAGTATATAGCACCAATCAGAAATGGGAGGCCTGGTAGCAGAAAGTTGGGAAGACGGATCAATGAGAACGGGAACAGATAGTAATCCTTATGCAAATGAAGGAACAGTGGAAGTTAAAACGATTGGTGGAGTTTCTGCAGAGGAAGTACCGAATGTATGGTTTTCACATTTTATCAAAGAACTCTGTAATTTTGTTGGTGTCTAGAACTGCAATTGATCAGTCTCTCATTGACATATATGCATCCTGTACGGATCGCCTCTATATTGCTTTACGTCACAAGCACTATAGGCAAAGATGGATGGTGGATGGCATCTGATGAGTCCCAAATAGGACGAATCGGGCGTTCTGGATTACACTGCTAGCTACCATCCACCTTTGCTTATAAATATATTGTATGTAAAAGAATATTCTACAGTGATGATAATGACAAGAAACTAAAGGGTTAGAAATAAGTGGTCATGTATTGAATAAACGCTAATAACAAATGTATAATGGAAACTGTTTTATGTATTCCCATGCTTCCCTATAATAAATGCTATTTCGCTAATTTAAAAACTTTCTTTCAACTCTTTCAGTTGATCATTTTTCTCAATTCTCTTCCACTTCAGTAGTTCTATTTTTAACTAACTTATTTTATTCTTACTTATCATTGACATATGTTCATTACGTAACCACTCATTTTCATCTCTTTAGTCCTTTGTTACTATCAGTGTGGTAGAATTTTCTTATACACATGACATATTTTTTTTAATATTTAGTCTCATAAATTCATTCGAATTATTTTTACATTCTACAGATGTGCTCTGACAACAACTTCCAACTGAATTCATTTGTGTGCAAGGCAAATTTCAATGTAATTTATAATTTGACTTTTCAAATATTTCAGGTTGTATATCAGATAATAAGAACTTTGTGAAATAAAACAAATTTATATTATTCTGATCAAAACTTTGTTCTTACTTTCTTCAAGATATGAATAACTAAAACTATGTATGAAATTTTTGATTAGATCGTTTCATCAACATCAATGATCAATTAAAATTAGACGACTACTGAAAACTTGAGAGCGCTGTGTGGTAGCTTTGTCTTAATATGGGACTCCCTGAAAGTGGGCATGCATGACCCTGGATTGAACCCAAGATCTCCGGTCTTCTGAAAATTAAACTTTTCGTACACACATTTTATCGTTACCTAGGGTTTCTGAATAGACTTAATTGAATTCTGTACAGCTTCCTAGCCAACGTCTATAGCTAGGTTTCATAAAGTGGGAAAAGAAATCTTATTCAGCCCTTGTGTCACTGAATGCGGGAAACCATTAGTGTCTAATAGATTCGGTTATAGTCTGGAGTCCTTAGGAAAACGTTAACTGAAATTGGCTATTCAAGCCTATTCACCGATAGAAACATAAAAGAAAGCTGTAATAATAAAACTAGAAATCCTGTATTAACGATATATTCTTATATATATCTATAATATTATGGTGAGCAGAATTATTAATCAGTTTTCCATAGGAAGTTCATGAACGCTCTATGCAGCAAACCTACGACAAACATAAACAGGCAGAATTCTGTTTTGCGTATCCGCAAAGGATAAGATCTTCCATCTATTCATCTCTCTGTGGATTTGCTAGTTCATCCCCTCATGCAGAGTAAGTTAAGTAGGCCTTTACAAGCGTTTGCTTTCAATACACATACCAGAACATATAGTTATACGGAAGTGAGAGGAAAGAATTAGAAGTTCTATCACTAAATATTTAAACGAATGTAATAATTCAACTAACCAATATGTTCACGGTATCGAAATTTTATTTTGAATATGTACAGTTCACTTGTTTCTTTACTGTAACATGAAAATTTTACCACTCCTGCTTTTCATAACGTACTTACTGAAGCATGATTGTAAACTCAGTAATTAACAAAAACGTTTCAAACAGTGCTAAAATATAACATAAAGTGACTGTTGAAGGTGCCGGTGAATTGGCGACGATAAGAAATTTCGGATGACTTACCTATCCATCAAAAATGATCGTTGAACTTAATTGATAGAAATTTAGTATGTATATATAGTACTTTTCTACATTTGGTTTCCTTGATAATTATAAATAAAGGTAGAAAAAAGAAACAAAACTTGGAAAATGAAATAAATTAATTCAATTTTGAAGATATTTATCGCTTCTGAATAAAGGAACAGTGCGAGTAATACTAATGATAGTAACATGATTAGAAACACGGAGTAAACCTACTTTAATTATTGAGATGGTGGAGAAGATTTCTAGCTCAGTTGAATGATTTTGACGGAGTTTTTTCTTTTAGCTGGATCGTTTGGTCGTAGAGCTTTCATCGTTCTTCTGAACGACATCACTTCTACATGAAGTTTGTGTAGATGATGTCATTCAGAAGAACAATGAAAGCAACACGACCAAACTATCCAACTCAGAAAACAAAACTCCATCAAAACTTTAATTATTTAATAATTTTGAGATTATTATTTAACCTTGAGCATCAAGACGTATAAAAAGTAGAATGATATAAAATCTGACTTCTGGCACTTGGGTTGAAACTGTTATGTATTTGTATATTAAAAATCATGAAATTTAAACGAAATAGATTAGATTACATATATTTGGACATATACGTAATGGATACAGTTAAAATAACCAAGAAAGTGATTACATAACTATACTCAGTTATTAAAATAATATTAACCTAATGAATAAAAAATGTCAGATGATAAGTAAAACAAAAATATTTTATATTATAGGGGAGATTTGGTTATGTTTGAATCAACTAAGCTCCACAAGATCCTTATATTAATACACATTGATGTGATTATGTATATGAGGTGCTGGAGAGTTTTATATCCAGGTGAAACACTTTTCCCTATTTTCGATGACTATCTAATTAAGGTCAGTTCACAATGTAAACTCTTATATTATATAAAAGTGGAATTGAATTCAATATATGTATCTTTATCATGACAAAGCAAAGTTAACCACACTTACTTTTTGCATTTATTTGTCATATTAAAATTGACTTATTCTAATGGCCACCGTAAAGCATCTGGTAAGTTATGTTTATCACTAACTAACAGTTTCAAATAGTTTACAAAATTTTACATTATTTGTTTACCACTAAAATGATTCAACCTCTGTAAATAACCAAACCAAATGACAATAACTAATTAGTTGGGATGAAATATTTTTTCTTTACATTCAAAATAGTCAAAGAAAAAAAATAAAATAAATTAATCCGATCGATAACTTCTATTTGACAGAAATTATGTAATCTGAGACACTGATGAACATGGTGGATCTGATACAGATGTCAAAGCGCGGATCAGTAAAGCAAGAGCAGTATATTTACAAATGAAGGACATCTGGAACTCAAATCAACTGTCAACCAACACCAAGGTCAGGATTTTCAATACAAATGTCAAGACAGTTCTACTGTATGGGATGGAAACCTGGAGAACTACGAAAGCCATCATCCAGAAGATACAGATGTTTGTTAACAGTTGTCTACGCAAAATACTTCGGATCCGTTGACCGGACACTATTAGCAACAACCTACTATGAGAGAGAACAAACCAGATCTCATCGGAGGAAGAAATTAGGGAGAAGCGCTGAAAGTGGATAGGATACACATTGAGGAAAGCACCCAACTGTGTCACAAGACAAGCCGTCACATGGAATTCTCAATGCCAAAGCAAAAGAGGAAGACCAAAGAACACATTACGCCGGGAAATTGAAATAGACATGAGAAAAATGAACAAGAATTGGATGGAACTAGGAAGGAAGGCTCTGGACAGAGTGGGTTGGAGAATGCTGGTCAGCGGCCTATGCTCCATTAGGAGTAACAGGCGTATGTAAGTAAGTAACGTAATTTGAGATGAAGATTTCTGTCGATTGCAACTATGAATATCCGTTAACATAAATTTAATGAAGTATTTAATGTGTTTATAAATTAATTAGATTAATTTTCTTAATGTAATATTAGATGTTTATGATTTAACAAAAGATAATGCGTTTCATTAACATTTATAACAAAAAAAGGGAATTTATAGTTTCTTATTTTGGTTAATTTACAGGAAACATCCTAAACAATATTACCAAACTACAAATATGTTTAATCAAAAATTGAAAGTTATGTAATCAGGATTTAATCAATCCTAATAGATCTTAATTGACTGAATAATTTTGAATAATTTTTTTTCTGGTTAACGTCTTTTTTAGCGAGTTAGTTTTCTACGGGATGGGGTCGTTAACCGCATGTTCAACCCTCCTCCTTTGTCTGTGCTTGGGATCGACAGTATTCCTAGAAAGGCTTCAGGAGGAATTTCTTAGTTGACTAGTAAATATTTATTTTGTTAGTTGAAATAACGAGTCAATCTAAGCTACACTGGAAGGCCATTTTGTCCTAGTATGGGACTTGACACCAATGCGCCTCCATGATCCCATAAGCGACACTTTAACCCAGGACTGAATGAATGGATTTTAGGAAATTGTTTTAATATGTTCAGTGTATTATTTTTAATAGATATTTTTTTTTGAATGACTACGTTTTATAAACAAAATGATTAGATAATCAAATGGGTAATGAATGAGAACGTGAATCACTATCAGTTGAAAATATTCGTTGATAAAAATTTTGTAATATTCCATACATTTTGACCGACCACCCTATGACTGACATAATTATATCTTAGACTAAGACCAAGATCATTTGACTCCTAATGTTTCAGATTACATGTCTCTGGTTTAATAAGAAGGAACACAAAAGTCAAGTTTCTGTGCACCTATATTTCAGGAGCCCAGTGATTATAACTCAAATATTTGTGAGTTTATATGTATGAATCACCAAATCATATCGTAACTTAAAATAAGAAATCATACTCTATAGACAATCAAAACAGAGAAATGAGTAGATGATACATAATTAATTAGTAATAATTAAGTGATAATAATATGTATATTTATCGGTAAACTGAATTATATTACTTTTATGTTCCCTGTTAGAACAGCCAGTTGCAGTTTGTTTTTGTTTTGGATTCAAACCAAATAATTACTATAACACAATTCATCTATTTTACTAAACTTTGGTGATTTATTAGCGTAATACATTTTAAACTATAATCTAATCATACATTTACTGATTAAGAAATCAGACAAATTGAAACGAAAGAACAGAATATAGGATTAAGAAGAAAACAGTAAGAATCATACGATTCTGTATAATAATTCATTATTACAATGGTTTGGTTCATGTGATGACTTGATAGAACATTGATATTAATTATAATATTGTAATTTGTTATGACTAAGGAAAAACTGTCATTTGCTTTACATGTTCAACAGAATATATTTGACAAGACCATAATAGAAGATTTATTCATGCACTTAACATTAATTTAAAAATGATCAGAATGGCATCCAAAATTACAACAAGATGTATATCATGTTAAATATTCAGTAAACAGATATATTAAATGTATTGAGTCAACAGTAGTTAACATTAGTCATTAATGTAGTATAAGTATAAAAATTTTGTTACAAAATCAATAAATAAATTACTTTGACTAATAGATGACTAGATATCTAAGACTAGAAATTTGTTTTGGAACATAAAAAGTAAGTTTGATACTTTATATAACTAACAATGTTAATAAACATTGCTATACTCCGTCTCTATGGATACTTTCATGTAACCATACTAACTATTCTAACTATCTTAATGATAACTTAATAATTTCAATGGTTAAGATCATGAGTCAATTGAAGCTAGACCACTATGGAAAACCTGGAAGCACTGAACGACCGTTTCGTTCTATTGTGGGAATCCTCAACAGTGTACATCCACGATCTCGCCCCCTGCGAGATTCGAACCCAGGACCTACTGGTTTCGCGCGCGAGCCCTTAACCAGGTTTTCCATGGTGGTCTAGCTTCAACTGTCTCATGAACTTAACCATTGAAATTACCATAATATCCACAATACCCATCTGATAATTTAATAATCAATATTCGATGAGATTTGCATGATCAAGTTTTTCAACTTACAAACATTAATATCATTTTCTTGAAATTAGATTTAATTTCTGTTTTATAATAAGATTGAAACAAAATTACTTAGTTATTTTTTATTAATTTTAATTAATAATAACAAGAAGAAGAAGAAATGGAAAAAGAAGAAAAAGAAAAAGAAGAAGAAATAATAAATAAATTATCCATTTCATTTCATGTCATTATTAAAATTAGAAAATAAATCTTATTCTAGGGTCAAAATATTCATCAGCCTGAAAACTAATTAAACTTATTTGAATAAGTAAATATATATTAAAAACAACAATCTGTTCAATTTTAAATAAATTGAAGGTCAATTGAATAATGAACATTTAAAACCAAAGTTCATATCTTCTTTTATTTTTTCTTTGTTCATTGAAAATATTATTTATTTCATTAAATGAATAATTAAAAAAAAGAAAAACAATAATTTGAATTCAATTGGTATTGTTTTACTTGAATCTTCTCATTAATGTATAGAGACTGTAATTGGTCCGTCTCTTATTGGCATATATGCATACTATGCGTATTGCCTTGATATTGTCTTAATTCACAAGCATTATAAGTAAAGATGGATAGTAGTTAGCAATGAAATCTAGGACATGCGTTTCGTCCTATTCGGGACTCGTCAGCTAGATGTGCCTTCATCTCAGTATTGATGTTCACTCTCTGCTTATAAAAGAATGATTTTTTTTATTACCTAATTTATTTATATCAAATACAAAGAAGATTTGAATAGTAAATTGATAGAATTCAATTCAATATTTTATTTTTTAAATACAAACCAAAATGCTTTTCAATATTAAATTCTTTTAGAAGTGTTTCATATTCATTTGTTTATACTGAAAAGATTCAGTTATCATTGACTTGTAAAAACGTTTATTTATAAATAAATATTGGAACTAAGAACATACATTTTGTCCATTTGAAACTCACTATCTGCATATAATTTAATCCCACTGTTGATATTTCTAGTAGGATTCAAACATAGTACCTTGTATTTTGAATGTTCAGAAACGTTTTCCATTAAACTGCTGAGTTCAAATAGTCTGAAGTTAAATAACTTCTGTTGATAAATTTCATATAGAGCAAATTTTACTTCTTGGATTCTGCGTTAGTCACAACTCCACTTCATTTAAACCTGTACCTAGAAAGTATTATCAAGACAATCCGCATATATGGCGATACAGACTGTTCAAAATTGAGTCTTTAATATCAGTAACGAGGAAACTGAAATCCTATATATATATATATATATATATATATATATATATATATATATAGTTTTCTACTCTGATCAATTCAGTCTTAAATGTTGATCTCAAAAAAAGTCAACTGTATGCAATATGTATTCACATTTGACCTATTTCGTAAATTTCTGTTCGATTTAAAAGACCCACATATCTTTCGTTCGATCTGTCATACTGTAATGGCTTAGTACTAAGCTTGTTTACTGAAGCAGCTCTGATTTTCAACGGTGTTCCAGCTAGAAACCAACTCATGATTTAGACTATATTTTGAAAAATTTCCATAAACTTTGATTATTTATAACAAACTGTCAACTTGATTATATAATTCATTAAATGTCATATAGTTTTATGAGACAACTTACAAATAACAACTTATTTAAGGTAAGTGAAAGCATTCAACGATTTAAAAAGATATTTACTTTCTAATATAAGAATACTTGTAAGGATTTTCCATGCGCACATATACTTTTGTACATATATGCTGTTGATAATGATTTCAGTCAATGTTATTCATTAAAACATATGACAATTTGGAACTTCTTCCTCGTAATTGATCATCTTAATCAATAATATTAATGTTTATTCTTGAAAATATTTCATTGAGATATATGATGTCATGTTCATATTACTAACTTATGATAATCAAATCTATCTATGCTTATCAAAATCATATTTAAGTATGAATGAATCAATGACAGGTTTATTAATGAATAGCAACTATATTGTATATAAATATTATGTATATATGCAAATCAAAAATGTGAGCCTATATGTGCTTGAGTAAGGTATGCAACATGTGTATTGATTTTCTAATGTTAATAAGAAGAAAAAACTGGTTTCTGTCAGTCACCAGTCTATCTGCCTACACAATTTTAATTTTAAAAGCACTTCAGCTATGGTGTGTGCTACTTTTGCCTACTGATATAAGTAGTATGTATCACCAATCGGAAGTGGAATGCCTAACGGCGGAAGGTTAAGAAATTCAAAGAGAAAAGAACGGGAATAGAGAGTGATTAGTTCGGTTGTCCTCGATTGTGTTCTCATTTTCTATACAACTTTTGTTTAGCCTTTATTTTTATAACATGTTTGGGTTGTAATGAGTAACCTTTTTATATCCAAATTATTGATCATACATTCTTTATGATATAACTTATCGCGTAAACATTTGAAACATGATTACTTTGTGACATTAAAAAGAAGAATATATTTGTAAAATCTCAGCGAATGAATTATAAGTAAATCCAACGTTTCGCCTGGCAATCTGGTCCAAGCTTTTTCAAGGAAAATATAATCAAACAACAAAATTATCGAATATAAATAGGTACATGTCTCAAATTAACTCGGCGCCCAAATATTGTGAAACTATTCGTTCAAATTTAGACGAAAGTTCTTATTTATGATTACTTTGTGTTTACTAAGTATACCTGTTGGAAAGAAGAATTAATATAAGCTGGAAAACCCGGTGAAAACCATGAAATATTACAAAGTTATTTAATTAGGCTTCAATAGTCCACTTTTATGATCCAAAACATGAGATCAAATCCAGTATTTTGACAATGGCAATTTCATTTGATTTAGGGTTTACAATGTGACTCAAAGCGGAAAACAGCAATCCAATCACTCTTGATGGCGAAACTCTGGAAGATGTAGAATCCTTCACATACCTAGGAAGCATCGTCGATGGACAAGGAGGTTCAGATGCAGACGTAAAGGCGAGGATTGGCAAAGCAAGGGCCGCATTCCTACAATTGAAGAACATATGGAATTCAAAACAACTTTCAACCAATATCAAAGTGAGAATCTTCAATACGAACGTCAAGGCAGTTCTACTGTATGGAGCTGAAACTTGGAGAACTACAACAACCACAATCAAGAAAGTACAAGTATTTATAAATAGCTGTCTACGCAAGATACTCAACATCCATTGGCCAGATACCATCAGCAATAGCCTTCTGTGGGAGAGAACAAACCAACTTCCAGCTGAAGAGGAAATTAGGAGAAGACGATGGAAATGGATAGGACATACATTACGCAAATCGTCAAACTGTATCACGAGGCAAGCCCTAACTTGGAATCCTGAAGGGAAGCGGAAAAGAGGAAGGCCAAAGAACACATTACGTCGGATAATAGAAGCAGATATGAAAAGGATGAATTACAACTGGAAGGAGCTGGAAAGGATTGCCCAGGACAGGGTTGGATGGAGAATGCTGGTGAGCGGCCTATGCTCCTTCACGAGGAGTAACAGGCGTAAGTAAGTAAGTAAGTAATGTGACTTATCTTACTTCATAACTATTTAAATGTTTAGCTTTCAACCTCATTTAGTGTCCAAGTTTTGACGTCACGGTATGAATGAATCTTCTTCTGCACACTTTCCTTCGATAAGCCATTTCGCTGTCACCAATTACTGCTCTACATACAATGCATTATTTCATCTTTCTTAATATCATGGTGAGTCATACTGACTATCGATTTAGTGTAGACGAAACAGTGAGATGCTAACCGACTTTAAAAACTTGATATATCAATATAACTTCAAATCGTCCAACTCACCTATCTACTTGGATACCCTTCTCATTTATTTCGTGAAGTGAACGTATAAATATCACTATGCGGTTATAATATGTTGATTCCATTTCGCAAAGCACGTTATTGTTTCTAAGTTACATTCCTTAAGAATTGATCCAAGTTCACGTACTACTGAAAACTAGGAGTCACTAGACGATTGTTTCGTCCAATTTTTGGACTCATCAACGGTCACATCAAGGATAGGTGATTGTAGAATTTAGATATCGTAGATAACGCACTAACTAATATAATTAAAGCTCAAATATTAGGCATATTGATTGCCTATCATATCACATAACGTTATTTTGGAGATATTACATTGATTACTAGAAGTAAGTAGTTTGTTCAAATTTAATAGATTATACAAAGAAAAGTTTTCAAAATAAACCTTTTACTAGAACTTTATCCAGGAATCCATCTTTAAGTAAGTTACTGGTGTACACAAGTATAGTATTAATAATTGAGTTTCCTATAGGTTAGTTTGATTTGTAGGTGTGTGTATTCGTCATGTACAATTCATGTGATAAATACATGTTATTAAAAAAATTATTTACTCAATTATTTACAGTCAGTTCTCATTTAAAATCACGCTAAATTATTAATTTTTGGAATGATGAATTGATAGAAGTTTGACTGTTACATTTAAGCTATGACACCATTTCTAGTTTTCTTTTTTTTTACAATTCGCTGAAACCAAAGTCAGTGTCTATTACACGTTTACATTTGATTAATTACTGAGCAGTAAGTAGTGTGATATTTGTCTATTTCTTTACTACTGATCAAATTCTACTCATCACGTTTCAGTGCGTCCACAAGTCTAAGTGACTCTACTTCGTGTACAATTTGTTTCAGTGTTAAATGATTGAAGGTATTTCATAGGAAACTTTTAATCTATCATTCGTGCTAATAAGTACTCATTGTTAGAGTGTATCTGTAATACTGAAGAAAGTGATAATTGCAAGCACGAAGTTCAGCGAAGAGATCTCTTTTCAACGAATTTATTATCAAGCTGTACAGTCGTATATATCTGAAAATTTTTTTGTTAAAGTACTAATTCCGTGAGGAAATGTGAACATGAACAACCAAGATGATGTAAGGAGAAGATTATAATTACTTAATACGAATAATAACAGTAGATCTAGATGGTTGGCTCAACTTAGCACAGAATATTCTATTTCTGTCTATCACATAAAAGCTATAGATCCTTTTTGAACCACAAAACTAGATGCTTACTAATATATATATATATATATATATATATATATATATATATATATATATATATATATATATATATATATATATATAGTGATTAATGACAAACTAAAAGGTGACAAACGAGTGCTGACTACAAAAAACTTCATTTTACTTTCCTGGCTAGTTTATCATGCGGATTACTCTTGGGTATATCGTCGTTGACTTAAACCTGCCATTTTCAACAACCACCAAATCGATTTTAAAAATATCAAAATATTGCAAAAAGGCTTTTCCAACTACAAAGAAAGGAGGGTAGCTGAGGCGTTCCATATAATGCTTAATCCCACTTCTCTCAATAGAAAAGAAGGCCTTACCATACATCCTACTTGGACCATCTATCCTAACCATTCAGTCTGATCGTACTTACAATTTCACACTATCATATTACAAATTTAAACTCTATCCTTTCTTACCATAAAGGTCACACAAGTTTTCATTCTTAGACAATGCACACATACATACACACACAAATTTACATACATGTCACCTATGAATCACTCTGACAGAAATGACAAGACATCAACTTGTACAGACCTGTTTTTGATTGACCCAATATTATTATTGCATTGTTCCGTTGTACTATTTAAGCTTGGATTAATTTTAATTTGGTTATTTATTCTCTGAAGAAGTGACTTACACTAAGTCACGAAACGTCAGAAAATCTAATTTTCTACTCATTGGGATATTACAAATATATTATTTTTATTTATGTAATTCCTTTTGTTTGACATTTATTTATCTTTCACATCTCGATTATATAGGGCTGTCATCGTACGAATAATATTGCTGAATTTTATGGGTCGAAATAAATCGAGAAGTTTAATTTACGCAGATAAATTTAAAGTTAAACATCTATATGCTCTGTCCTAATTTTTAAAAATGTAATCAATATCATTGTAGCGACTCTACTCACAAGGATATTTGTAATTAGTGTGTTGCCAAACGTGGTGTTGAAGTTTGCAACAGTTGTCAGACAGATTGAAGAATTTCAGTGCATCAAAAGCGAGGAGTTGATCGACCACTTCAAGGCAGTCAAGAAAACAGTTCATATTACAGAACACACCGATAAATGAAATAAAACGATTGAAGGCTATATATGTATGTACTATGTAAACACTTTATAACTTCTCAATTATATTGTATGTAACCCAGAAAAAAATTATGTAACAATAAAGTGTATTCGATTCTAAGTATGAAAAGCAATCACGATAACCGATAATTTCAACCAACTTATTAAGTATTGAACATTTGTTTCAATTACGTTTCATACAAACAAAAGTTTCCACTTCATTTAAACAAACAATCTTTATATTTGAAATAGTTGAAAAGTAATCATAAAAATAATTTCAAAAAGAAAGAAACGTTGTCATGGAGAAAAAAAGACGAACTATTCAAATTCTATTTTTGAAGTTGTCACAATTTAATCTTTAACTGACATTGATTGTTGTTACAATCGATGTATTCACTTGAAAAAATGTAACATTACAATTTTAGATAAACAACTAGAATAAATATAAAAACTGTTAAAGAAGTTATCAATAAAATTGTGTAGATATTTTCATTTACAAACTTA